CGTCAATAATTATTGCGTCTAAGCGTGCTTTACCTTATAAAAACCATAACCAAGGTTGTGTATCCACTGAACACAACATGCCATCGATACTATAATGTCTTGTTTCTTACAGTAGCCCTTTATTTGGCACTTGCAGATGTTAACAGGATGTCTTTATGCTTTTTTGTCACTTTTAGCTGCGACCAGAACTCTTTCCACAAACGTCTACGCTATCAGTTCCTTGGTATAGGTTAGTTATATCCCCGATTGTGGATTTCCTTCGCTCATATTGTTGATTTGTTATTTCACACACTTTTTTGGACGTTGCCAAGCTATGCGTTATAGTTTTGTACAATATTGTTGCAAATACGTCAAATTTTAGCAATGAGCGTTTTCTATTTTTAGCACCTACTTGGTTTTTGAATCAGAAAGTGCATCCGAACAAAAGATTACTGTGAAGGGTTTACAGATAGAACAAATTTAATTATTTGTAAAATAGTTATCGAAGTGTTAAAATGTTTGAAAAATGGAGACACTAATGTAAAATACATTTATCCACAATCACCTTATAATCGGACTTTCATCCACACATATAAACCGTCTAAAGTGATACTTTATCCACTAGTGGAATAAAGTAACTTTATTTCACTAGTAGAATAATGAAAAAGGAATAAACTTGTAATAAATCAAATTTAATTTATTTACTTATTAACATTAACATTTACATTTATAGTAATAGACATTTCGTTGTTTGTTTTATCACATTTAACTTCCTTTCCGTTAATAGCAACTCTTGTAGCATTATTGCCATCATTTTCGGAACGCATAACATCTGCCGAAGTTTGTGAAGAATTTGCAAAAGCTATGTATGTCTCTCCTTGTAAAGAACAGCTATATTTTCTTTGGATTTTCCTTGCAATATCAAGTTTGTTAGATGTAGACTCCTCAACCTAACTTTCTGCTGCGGAGGAGCTCTTCCATCCACCATGCCGTTTGATGGTTGTAAGATCAGCACCTTTATTGTCCAATAAAGTTATTGAAGTGCGTCTCATACAATGACTAGTGTATACTTCTGCATTTGCGATATTCAGGAATGAAGATTCCAAGAGGCTGAGAAGTACATTTTTCATTAATATATCTTAAAAAAAATTTGTCTTGTGTTAGGCAAATTGGGCGCAGATAAATATATTATCTGCATATTTCAACAGCATTCACGCAAAATTCTTCTTCTAAAGTTTGTAAATTTTCTTGAAATACCCGTTTTGGTGTCAGGTATTGAAACAAGTAGGTAACTGTTAACGTCCTGTACGTCACTAATTTTCAAATTTGTCAATCTAACAACATGTAAAAAGTAAAGAGATATTACCTTAATCATCAAAAATTTATCAATACATGCTCTTTCCAATACTGCAACTTCTTTTGTTTTGTGTCCTCTCGATTCACTTTTCAAATAAGCAGTAAGCTTGTTATATTTTCCAATATCTATATATTTGTAGATCTTTATTCAACATCGAATACTTCGATCATATACAGGGTGTTAAAAAAAGAGTGTAAAATATTTAAGGAGGTAACAGTATGAACCAAAATTAGTAGAAAAGTCTCAATAAACATGGGTCCGCAAAGTAACGGTTGCGGAGATATGGAATGTTTGATGTTTTTTAGCCTCTTTTTTTATTTTGCAAAAAACGTTGTGTATTTTCTTATAATAGTTGGTTGATGTTTAGTGAAATAAACAGTACGTATTTGACAGTTGTTCTCAGTGCACAAGTTTTCTATCGCTATGGCTGGTTACTCTAACGCAGAATTAAGAGACATGCATTTCATGTATGGTCGTGCTAATGGGAACGCCACCGAAGCGCGACGTCTTTATGTTGACGCTTATCCAATTCGCCAGATTCCTTCACAACGCATGTTTGGAAGAATTCACTAAAAATTGCGTGATATCGGTTCCTTGAGCAAACAGTGCCATTTATCCGGAAGACCAAGGTCGGTATCCACTCCTAGAGCAGAAGAAGAAATTCTAGCACTGGTAGAGCAGAATCCAGGTACGAGTGTGCGGAGAATATCAGCCGAGGTAGGAATTAGTGGTCCTCTTGTTTGGAGAATCCTTCACGAGCAACTGCTTTATCCATACCATGTGCAACGAGTACAGTCCTTAAATCCAATAAATGATCATCAAGCACGTTTGGTTTTTTTGCCGCTGGTTTCTACGTCATGATGCTGAAGACCCTCGTTTTCTTGCAAACATTCTTTTTACTGATGAGGCCGGTTTCACAAGAAATGGAGTGTTTAATTTTCACAATACGCATATTTGGGCCGACGAAAATCCTCATGCTCTAATAGAATCTAGACATCAGGCACGTTTTTCATTAAACATTTGGATGGGTATTGTAGGTGACAGGTTTCTAGGTCCTGTTGTTTTACCAAACCGATTAACAGGCGCTTCTTACCTCAACTTTCTGCAGAACACACTGTATGAGTTTTTGGAAGACATTCCTTTGAATCAGAGGCAACAAATGTGGTTCCAGCATGATGGTGCTCCAGCTCATTATTCGATGGCGGTTAGAGAGCATTTACACCAAACTTTTCCACATAGATGGGTAGGAAGGGCCGGATTTGTTTTATAGCCTCCAAGATCGCCTGATCTGAACCCTCTAGATTTCTTTGTTTGGGGATATTTGAAGACATTAGTGTATGGTACTCCTGTAAATGGCCTGGAAGAGCTGCAGCTACGGATCAAGAGTGTCAAGAAATCCAAACCAAGGAGGGTGTTTTCGAAAGAGTTCGAATATCGTTGAGACGAAGATGTCGTGCCTGCTTGGAAATGGACGGAGGGCACTTTGAACATCTTCTGTAACTTTGTTTTTTGTTTGTTAAAAGCTTCCTTTGTCGGTTTATTCCTAATAAAATAAAATGTTTGAAATACGAATAGTGGTCCATATTTCCGCAACCGTTACTTTGCGGACCCATGTTTATTAAGACTTTTCTGCTTATTTTGGTTCATACTATTCCCTCCTGAAATATTTTACACTCTTTTTTTAACACCCTGTATTGCATATTTTTTCTTCAAATTTAAAAAATACGGTAGCATAACTTCTTCATTTATTGTCATTACTCTCCGTTTTCCCTTCATTCGCTAAATTCAGCGAACACTTTTTTGTAATGTTCCCTGGATTTCGCTGGCAATAAATGAAAAATTGCTTCTTGAGCTTCTTCAAAACCAACCATAGGAATACAATTACTTTCGTGCGTATTTACCAAATTCAGATGGAACTGTTTATTAAATAATTGATAATAAACAACGTACCATAGCAATCAGTAGGTATAACAAAACCTACCACGTTTCATTGAGTACTAGTAAGAAATATCAAGTCGTGCGAATATTTTTTTATTAAATTCCAATAATTCTGACTCCACAAATATGATTGTGATGTGAGTATGGATAAAACGTTGTATTAAATTCATGTTTTAATTGCCTTCTATCCATTTAAGAATATGGAACGCTCGAACTATGTTTAAACATTATTGCGTGGATAAAATGCTTCTTAAAACACTTATGCTAACGATTATGCTATACTAAACTTATGCTATAATAACTATTAATCTAACATTGTGTAACTTTGTTAACTGTTCTCTCTCATCTGAACATTTAGTTGTTAGAACTCGTATATGTCTATCTAGTGGATTTTCTTGAGATTCGCTAGTTATATACTCTAAACGCTACATCCAGTTTACATAATCTCTTTGAAGACTTCTGAAGTGTACAGGTTGTTCCGTTCAGAATTCCTCAATTCAATGTCTCTAAAAGGAAGCTTTTCATAGCAGCAATCCAAAGTATTTTTCAACGGAAAATGTACATGAAAAACTGTAAAATTCTGCTAGCTCTTTTATTGTTTATCTTCATTTTTTTAATAAAAATACATATGTAAACCTCACAGGCCTGAAAAATCCAAATCAACACCAAAAGCCGACCCACAAATGACAACTATAGAAATAAACAGCAAAACTGAATCAAATGACAACTACCAAGTGATGTACATAAATTTTTCCAAAGCCTAAGGAAAAGAAAAACCTAAGATTTGAATTCATAGTAACCTATGTCAGACCTATATTGATACCTTTTTGGCTTAAAACAAACTAAGGAAGATATCCCTAGAGTTTGGCAGATTTCAGTATCTTTCGTTACATTCAAAAGAGTTACTGCCTTCCCAAATATGTATTTGAGCTGAAAAATAGTTTTTTAGCAAAACTGTTACAATTTTTACAAAATTTGGATTGAAATGATATTTTGTTATTATTTGGTCGAGTTCCCTGTTGGACTTTTCAATTTTATTTTATCGGATTTCAAAATTCTGTTTCATCGGTATTTAATTCTGCTAAAAATATTTGTTAATTAAATCAGTATGATAGATATTTTCATTGTTACAGTTATTTTGAACTTCTTTTGATTTACCTTTTTTATAATCTAGAAATATGAAAAAACTGTGTTTCATTAAAAAATAAAGTTCCTTTTAACTAGCGCAATTTAGTTCTTCAAAATTTAAAAAAGTTCTTCAACTTCAACAATTCTTTCAACTTTCAGGTTCAAATATCTCGAAAACCAGTAATTTCTCGAAACCGGTTTATATTACAAAAGTTACCCAGAATTTAATAGTTTTTCACGTGAACTATTTCTGAAGTGTATATAATGTTTCAATAAAATTGTTTTCTATAAGAAATCAGGCGATTGCTTGATGACTTACATCTTGATCACTGCTTAACATAGCTGGTAGAGACTTGAACTAGTTTTCGACCTGCTTCAAACGCTGTCTGTATCTCCATGTTGGTATATATAATTTTTGTAAATTTAAATGAAAGACATTTTGCAACACGTACCACTTACCTACCCTACAAACTTATACAGATCAGTTATAAAACTCAACACATTTTCGTGTAGACTGTAGGTGATGCAAAAGGTCGAAATGTATAATTGTTTACGCATACGTTATACATTTACTGAATGAGTGCGATTGTTCGCTCAGGGTGCAATAGGGTACAGCTCGGTGTCCCGAGAGGGCTCGAGCCTGTCGGTGCCGTCGTCTTATGTAAGTCCCCTTAATGTCGTGAGGTGTTTTGTTTTGTCCAGTATCTGGTCCCCCCCGATAATTGAGTCGGTAAAATTGAGAGATACACGTGCTTGAATGTGTCACTGCTAGAGACGCTGGTGTAGGAGGGAATGGAATGAATTTTATTTGAACCCCAACAAATTCCTCCTTCACCAAGCACTCATTAAATAATTATATCTGCAATTTGATGTTAAAGGTTACTTTATAAATATGATTTTCAGACGCTAAGTGGTCCCTTAGATTTATCAATAATATTGTACAATATTTTATTGCACAATAATACTGAGGGTTGTCTTTAAACAAGGACTTATATGAAAAAAACATTTTCTTCATGGATTTCTAACGATCATCGAATTATTCAAATACTTGTTATATAAATTTACTTTATTTTAATTCTCTAATTCAAATAAGTTCAAAACATGTTTTGTCAAGTTTATGGTCCAGTCAGATTAGATCATAAACCCTGAATACTTAAAAAAATATTAGTAGACATTTCATTGCAGTGTATGACGGTGGAGGGTATTTTATTGCAAAAATAGCGAATTCCCGAGCTGCTGAAACAATTTGTTTTGCACATCCTACTTTGTCAGTTGCAAAGAGAAACTTAAATGTTTCGTTTTCGATACGTTTTTTTTTTTGGATCAATTAGAACCTATATCTACAATATTAACGTTTAGTAAAAAAAAGAACGAAATACCTGGAGCAACAATTTCATGAATTCCATCGAATTGGCCTTTGGCATACACGTTGGTCATTGGATTGATTACTGTCTTTTCCATAAATTTCGTCAACATCCATCGCTTCTTGCAATAATAATGCGCAATTTTCGAAAACTGATTTTACCGCGTTCAACCCTTATTTTACAGTGAACAAATTGGTGAAATATAACTTTAGGTACCTTAATAAATTGTAGGTAATTTAATTGCCTACAACATAAACAACTAATTTTCCGATAGGTCGTCTAGATTTTCATGGGCAGCAAAAAAAAAATTAAAAAACACATAATTTTGACACTTATTTGCCTTTTTCCAAGTTAGAGTCACTTCTTTCGAGTTAGTTTTTTCATATTATCATTCTACATACCCTTCACCGTCATAAAGTGCAATATAATATCAACTCATAATTTTTTTACGTTCAAACTCAAATTCGATTGGACTATTCAAAGATAATTGAAAAAATGTGATATTTTTTAAAAACTTTAAAGCCCTCTATCTTAAACCAGTTTTGGACCTAAAATTTATGATATGGACTTAAGCATACACTCTGTATATTAAAAAAAAATGTACAACCTTTCAATATCTTCCAGTCTCACAGTAATATCGCACAGTATTGAATATTGTACAGTAATATTGACAGTATAAGTATAACTTTATCGCCTGCGGAATGAATTACAGCCTACTTTGTAACTGGTTTCATTTATGTATTACCAGATTAGCAAATAGTAACCAAAAGTTACAATTTGCATCAAATTAGTAATGCCTTTATTATAACATATGCCAATATTCAATTGACACTAAATTTGTGACTGATTTTGTGAACTAACTAGTTATGGTTAAAAAAATTTATAGATGTACTGCAACTTCGTCATTTTCGTGCTCTAAGATCACACGATAAACTCACATTTTAATTATTTTTATATGGTAACTATGACAAAATTTCAGATATATTATACAAGATCATCAGAAACACATGTAAAAAGATTAGACTGTAACTTTGTTGTCTGGAAAGATATCACAAAAGTAAAAAATAATTCATAATATTCATTTATTTTTGACCATATTTCCTTTAAATTAGAGGTAGACATACAAAAGTGTATCTGTAATCCTGGGGAATATGTATAAGAATATACGAGTGTTGTCTTCAAAGTTTTGGAATTTTGGAAACATATAGCATTCCCTAAAAGAGTGTAGTGAGAAAATTGAGGTAGATTATTTCCAACCTAGCCTAGCAACAAGCAATGCAATATCTTACATTGCTTGTACACCGAACGAAATTTAAAAAATTTAATCTGGAAATTATTCCAGATTTATCATATTTATCTCTCGTACTCTTACACCATATTCGCTAGGCGTAGCTCCCAGTGATTTTCATCAACTTCCATAGTTGAGAAAATCTTTGCTGGAAAAATGATTTCAAGATTTAAATGACGTAAAATGAGCCCTAAGCCGATGGATTGCTGATAGTTCTAAAAAATTATTTAAAAGGTGTCAAGGTGAATTAAGCGCATCCAATTAGACGGAGATTATATTGAAAAATTACATTGAAATATATATAATTTGGACACCCCTGATATAAATGTTTTACAACAAAAACAGAATTGGTATTCGTGTCTTTAAAATACGATGTCCGATTATTTTTCTGATAAAAAAAAACAGAAAATAAGTGAACAAATCGTGTTTTACTTTTCCGACACCTTCTACGACGACAAAGTTACAGTAAAATTGAGTTTAGATATCCCAGTTGGTTTAAATAAAAAACTCAACACTCTATACAAGCTTCAACGGCTTGTGCCACTCTCTCTGAAGAAATTATATGTTACAACAGTATAAGAGATTGTAAACATAATTAATATACTATATAGCCTACGTATTCAAAGGTTATAATTAAGTAATTGATTATTCTAATGATAAGAGGATTTCCAGATGGTTTTACTGTCCTCTAGTTGGTCTAAAGTACTCGACACCTTTTAAAAACCACGTACTTCTTGGGAGTTAGCTTCATTCAAGCTTCTCTTAGATTTTGAAATAAGTACTCTTTCGAATGATCGAAACGAAAATTCTTTCCAAGTATTATGATATCGTTAATATAGTCAAGACAGGTCTTTTAAGTCATACCATGTAGAATTTTTTCCATAAGTCTTTCAAACTTAGCTACAAAGTTCAAATAGCATCTCGTTGAACTACTACAAACCGGTCCGTATCAAAAATTATGCTTTTTCTTTCTCATATGGACGAGTTGAATTTGCCAATAACCGCTTTTTAGATCTAACGTAAAAACCCAATAAAAATAACGTGACTATGTAATTCTTGTAACAGATATCTGCCCTTCGCGACTTTTAACGAAAACAAATGAGACTTTATCGTCACTCCATATTGTTCTAGGTAGGTACAGCAAACATCAGCTTTTACTAGATCTACCTTTCCAGTATTTCCCAAAATTCTTTACCAAGAGCTCATTAATATTTTTCTTAGTTTTTTAGGATTAATTTGTAGTTTATTCTGTGAAATAAGTTGAGAATTCACATCTGTGAAACTATTGCAAAATAAACGCTAAACTCTTAAGATTTTGATTTACTATGATGATATGGTAAAATTTCTCAATTTATTAAATGAAATGAGGAAATCTACTGCTTCTTATCATAAGATATCCCGCTTTTATTTTGGAATCGATGTTGGCATGATAAGGGCGAAAAGATGACTGCCATAGGTCGCATTTTAATGTGGAAAGGCATCATCTTCACACTATTGGGATATGGTAAAATATTATATAGATTTTTAGCAGAAGACCTCATATGATTTTCATTAGAGCTACATAACCATTGGCAATCCTAGAACCACTTGACCTACCCTACCTTAAGCTAAGGACTTACAACAGTTTTCTTAGGCCTTTAGTAGTAGTAGTAGTAGTCTTGCCGAGTATATTACTAGAAAGCAGATAATTAAATTTTCTTATACAAAAAAATTAAAGTGGTTATTTAAAAAAGTAATACTAACAAATATTGATATTAAAGACATTTATTACCATTCTTGTTATTTCCTTTTAGTAATTTAAAACCATATTCATTGCCACATGTCTTTTTTTTTCTCAGTTAGCTAAGCGTTAAAATTATAATAAATCGTAGGATTTCGAGCTATCTTGTATATCTTTGGTTTACCCGTACGTATGACAAAAACTAGAGCAACAATTATGATCACTGATCGCCCGTTCAAAACGCTCCTCAAACTCCGATCGAAGATTAAATCTGGGGCATTTAAACTTTGTTATCCCCATAAGTCTAAATTTGAATTTAATACCCAATAATTACCAAAAAGGTATTTCTCCAATATGTCGTTAATTTATAACAACTTATCGGGAAACAACTTTATACAACGCGTCTGTTGAGCAATCTAGTCCGCAGAATTGTTTCCAGCTATCCATCGTAGACGGGGTGATACAAGAGATTGAAAATGTAAGTGTATTTATTTGGATATGGCTTATAAATAAACTTCTTTGGCAAATTTGTATTACATAAATTTCTTATTAGGAGCTCGAAACTAGAACTTTATCGTGCCATCAGCAGCGTGGATGTAGGAAATGATGTGAACTTAATTAAAACATATGCGCGCCAGTGACTTTTTACTACTGTTTGTTGTAATCCCCCTTTTAGTGCCGAACAAAAATTGGCTCTCGGTATTTTTTTTATTTGAAACTAAGTATAAATGGAAAACATAATTTTATATAAACAGAAAAATTTATAGCAAATGTGTGTATATTTTCACAAATTTTATTTTTTTTTTAGAATTTACTTGTTCAATGAATCTAGAAGATTTAAAACGTTTAATTGGAAAAACAAATTACGAAATTATCATATCATAGTGGATACTTCAATAGGAAGTGGAAAAATGCGCACTACCACTTATATCAGATCTAAAAAGTACCGAGACGCTGCAAAGTAAAACGTTTCAAACTTCCCGACAATCGTATCTCTTAATTTTCATGACCAGATACTGAACTTTGTCGACGATGGGGTCGTGCACACGTGGAGAGGTCTCGTTGGACATCTCCACGGACATGTTACACATTCACAGTGTTGTTGTCACTTTGTTAATCATATTCTCATTCTCTCATTTGTGCCGTCCGACCGCTTGGATCATGTCGTGCAATGTGTTGATTTCGCTCTGTCTTTATTCAGCTTGCACGGAGCATGATAGTGAGTATTTGTATTTAATTTTAAGTAGACACCTCGGTCACAAGAACTTCTATACCTAATTCACACGTAAGGCTGAGTACTGCATGCACTAGAATCGAAAAAATTGAGTATTCTAAATGATGGCGAATGCGCTGGTGATCAATCGATGACGATGCCACAAAATGTACTACTTGAAATTTGAAATGTGACCAAAAAAATGAGCTCGCTTGGAATTATTGTAAACTTAAAATTTATCAATTTTAAAACAATTGGTATAGGTCTTGGGAAAATTTTCGATTTTCGTCAATTACCAGTTAAGAGTATATTTTGAACGACGAAATAATGCGAAGTAGCTAAATAATGTTTTTTTATTGGTTTGAGGATATGTCGTCCAAAATGTCCGAAACCAGTAAGACATTTAACGACCACAGTGCTTATGACGTTTTTTGTACGCTCAAATATTGAATAAATTTAATTGAAACTAAAAATTTTAATATTTTAAAAATACATATATAAAACAAACAAGTTGTAATTCGAGTAATTTTAAACATTTTACAGTAATTCCGAAGGGACTGAAATTTTGAGTGTCCTATTTTAATTTTAAAAAGTACGTTTGTGATCAAAATAAACAAAACTTAAGTAAAATACGCCACTAGTGAGCTCAATCTTGAGGATATAAGCAGTGGTGAGAGATTTACCATTCTACTTAACATAAGACCTTAAACACGAAGCCGATGTCTTCATACTAACTAATAAAAAAAAATGTTTTTACGTAAAAATATTTCCTCAAGGCGTTCCTACGAAAACTCTACTGTTTAACATTTTATGAAACAAAATAGGAGAAATACAAGTTACTGTTTAATTTTCACTATATTCAACAATTATCCAAATTTGTTTTACCAAAATGCTGCTTCTTTCCCAGTACCGTTTTGCAATAAATACCTTCTGATAAGTAGAGTGTTATACAGGGAGTTGCTTAATTCGACTATTAAACTTGTACAGGAGGTTCTGTCATCGAACTTAACACAACACAGCGACATGAAAAAACCTCTTGATAATATTTTTAACTCATATGTATGCATAGTCGCACCAAGGGGTTGCCTAGAACCACTTTTTCTTAGTGACCTTGATAAAAAAGCACCCTGTAGAAGTTTAGCAGTCAAATTAAAGGGCAACTAAACTAATTAAGGTGGTAAGTAACTTACGTTAACCTTTCAACGAACTTCGATTATTTAAGATATGTTAGACGCCTTTAAAGGCAATACTGCAAATGGCAATGATAAAAAGAAGACATCAAAATTTTTGCGAAAATGGCTCTCTTGTAAAGTACTGATATACAGTGTGTAACTAAAATGCTTGGTCGAACAAACAATAAAATTTATTTTAAACATGTGTTGTGAGCGTGTGCGAAATTTAATGAATATATGGGGTTAATAACAGTTAAAGAAAGCCATGTAAATAATATTTAACTCCATTCATAGATTGCCTCAATAATAACAAATTTTATTTAAAAAATAATTTCATGTTTTTACACTTTTGAAAAGAAGTACCTATACATGTTATCATTTATCTCGAAAATTGTGCATTCTAACCAAGTGTAATAAGAAAATGTTTGTATTACGGGATATTTTTTACTGATAAGTTTACCCAAGTATTTCAGTTACCCGCCGTATTTTTGCTTAAAAAAAAATGTAACACTCAAAAATGCAATAAAAAATATGGCATTATATTTAAAATATCAAAGTTGGTGTCAAGTCCCGGTATAGCAGGATGTATGACAAAGACGACATTATTTTGTTTCAAGAGAACATGACAAAAGTACTTTCCTTTTGGGCATGTTGCTATGTAAAGCTTAGGACACATTATTGTATCGGATCAATACGTTATCGTAGTTACCTGTGATGACGAAAATTGCAAAATGCAAATAAAAAAGACTAAAAGCAAATGACCCCGCAGGTTCATTATGGAAAATGGCTTTCAGCCGATAGTTCTGAAAATTTGGATTTGAATAGTTCTCGAAGCTTAGGTAAAAAGTTGTCATAGGCACTAACCAGAGAAAATTGTATTTTTCGAAATATAGTCGCCGAAAGGTAGGAGTTATAGTACCGCGAGGTATAAATTGAAGAAGACTCATAGTAAGGTCAAATGAAGAGAAGCCGTGCAATCTGTACAAAACACATACAGTAGAGCTTCGATAATCCGTACTCAGGCTAATCGGAACGCCGCTGTAATCCGAACTGCCGACTGCCCCCCTCTCTCTCTTATCGTGGCCGCTGATCTTATGTTTTGTTTTCAGTTGCGAATGAGTTACCTCGCGTGTTCACGTTACTTTGTGCTAAACTCGCGCGCCACATGTTTTAGAGGTTATAAAAATGGTTCCTACACCGAAACGCAAACATAAAACTTTAACTATAGCTGAAAAGTGTGCCATACTGGATAGTTTGAAAGATGGAGTGTCTGGAACTTCTCTTGCCCTTAAGTATGGTGTTGGAAAATCGACAATTACTGATTTAAGGAAAAAAGAACAGAAAATACGGTTGTTTGTAGCTCAAACCGAGAAAGGTCCAGGTTTAAGAAAAACGCTAAAATTGCCAGAAAATCCAGTGCTCAAAGAAGCACTTTTCACTTGGTTTTTAGAGCAAAGACGAAGACACGTTCCTTTATCATGCGCAATCGTAATGCATAAAGCCAGATTCTTTCATAAAAAACTAACAGGGTCTGATTTCAGTGCAAGTAGAGGGTGGCTGGATAATTTCAAAAAGCGTCATGGCATACGGCAGCTGAAAGTGTCAGGTGAGAAAGTCTCTAGTAATGCGGAGGCTGTTCAACCATTCCAAGAAAAGTTTTTGAAAGAGATAAGAGAAAAAGACCTTTGTCCTGAACAAATCTACAATGCAGACGAATCAGGATTGTTTTGGAAGGTTCTGCCAGATAAAACTTTAGCCTCTTCTGCTGAAACTAGTGCTTCTGGATCCAAGGTATCTAAAGAAAGAATCACTTTTATGCCTTGTGCAAACTCGATAGGGAATCATAAATTACAGTTACTAGTCGTAGGGAAGGCCAAAAAGCCAAGATCTTTTGGATCCGTAAAATTACCGGTGCATTATCAAGGACAAAGGCGTGCTTGGGTAACTAGAGATATTTTCCTGGAGTGGTTCAGAGAACATTTCGTTCCAGAAGTCAAACGTCATTTGAAGAAATTACGTCTACCACAAAGAGCATTATTGCTCCTAGATAATGCGCCCGGACATCCAGATGCTGAAGATCTGACTACAGAAGATGGCAATTTTTCCGTACTGTACATGCCACCAAACTGCACACCCTTGATTCAGCCTATGGATCAAAACGTAATTCAAAATGTCAAGATTAATTACAAGAAGAAACTGCTGATTCAAGTTTTTGCGCAACAAGAAGATGATGAAAGTTTAACACTACATGATGTTATTAAAAGCATCACAATTAAAGACGCAATTTTTTCACTAGCGCAATGTTGGGATCACGTGTCGTCGTCTCTCATCAAAAAATCTTGGAAGCCTCTATGGCCTGACCAATTCAATGAAGCAGAAAATGGATCAGAAGAAAACGATGGCTCTGACGTGGAAGACAATCTCCCACTCAGTCTTCTACGCAACCGTGGATATACAGAAGGAACCATTTCCACTTTCTTGACAATCAGCGAAGAGGAGAATTGCACAGAACCCATAACTGATGATGAGATCATAGCCCAACTTAGGCAAGAGACTGACGAGCTTTTTGTTGACAATACTTCTGCTTTAAACGTCAAGAAAATTCCTCATTCACAAGCTATATCAGCACTGAATACTTGTTTGGATTGAGCTGACGAAAATTACTTTTCTTTATCCGAAAAGATGATGCTGCAAAATTTGAGGGACAAAGCCTTTTCTTGGTCAATAAATAGAACCCGCCAAACTAAAATTGATGACTTTATGAATAAGTAACGTATATTTCGTGGTTTAAATATGTATCTTGTAGTAGGCACCTCAATAAATATACTCTGTCAAAATATACTTGCCTTTTTTTAACATACTATAATCCGAACGCCCCGCCAGTCCGAACAGGGGTTGTTTTTTGGTAGTTCGGATCATCGAGGCTCTACTGTATTTCTTAGATTGTCGGGGTTACTGAATCCGAATCAGCGATCCATTCGGGTATACAGATGAGTTCTAAGCTCACATCAAGGTCAAATGAAGATTCCTTGTGGAAAATCGATTTTAGCCGATAGTTTAGTGACTTCAAATAGTTCTTGAAGCGTAGATAAAAAATAATCGTAGGTTTTTTTTTCAATGTACATTAATATTGTAATATAACAACCCCGGGGTCGATCGAAAAAAAATAAATGTAGTTGTACCCAGAAATATGTGATCGTCATAAGGCATACCTACGTTGTATACATCTATTTCTAATTGACCGAAAGGTGAAACTCATCCGCACTGCCGAATGGATGGCAGATTCGGATTGAGTGACCCCGATAACGCAAGGAGCATGTGTTTGGGACAGATTACATGGCTTCTTTTCATTTGACCTTACAAGCTACGAGTCTTTAATTTATATCTGGCGGTGCTATAACTCCTAGCTTTCATCGACTATATCTCGGAAAATAAAATTTTCTCAGCTTAGTGCTTATGATAACTTTTTATCTACGCTTCGAGAACTATTCAAATCCAAAGTTTTAAAATTGGCTGAAAGGCATTTTCCATAAGGAACCTGCGGGGTCCTTTGTCATGCTTCAAAGTATATTAAAAATTAAATTCAAAAAGGAAAATACAAATTTTAGAGAAGCAATTTATAGTAAAAATATATTCTATTACTTTAAATAAATAGTATTAAATAATATAGACTTATATCAATACTCACTGGTTTTCTTAAATTTTTCTTAAATTCTGGGAATCATACAATCTAAAACCTCATTTTATTAGATTTCATTGTAGTTTTACCACGAGGTACACATTACACATACCATTTTTTCTGAAGTCGCAAACAATATTAATTAATTAATATGATGACATGATATGATGATAGTATTAATGCATACTTACATTAATATTACATTTCTTCATTACGATCCAATTGCTTATGAAATAGTTTCCTTGACAATCATTGTTTATTTGTTATTGCGATAAAAATCAAATTCGTAAGTGTTGAAATAAAGTAAAAAATTTTAAATATGAAGTTTACTTAGTTTACAATTAAAGCAGGATGAGAATTCGTTTGGGGTCGTCTGTGTACTATCTCTACCCTGCTACTTTTATTGTGTAAGCTTCTATCTAAAATGATGCAACCTCACGACACGACACCTCAATGCGTCCTAAGCTTCAACCGTTATTTCGCGATAAATCGCCCCCCAGTACTCAGACTTGCACTTTGCACAGCTTCCGAACACAATCTAGATAGTCTAGTGTGATGGTTACCCCGATAAATCAAAGCATTCCGTCTCACACGCACCCTTGTGCCGCTGTTTGCAGGGAGGTTCGATGCCCAACACGAGCAGCAGCGTCCCGTTCTTGTTGAGCAGTAGCATGCAGAGCATCAGATCCAGACGGCCATCCGCAGTTCTAGGCGGCTCGCAAGGCTCGGGGCTGTTGCAGCAGCTCGGCTCCGGCATGGTAAGACTCACCTCTTCACACCAACCGATCAACGGCAGAACATTCTCTAGTAGCACGGTTAGGAAATGTCCCTCGTTGAATATAACGTTTAGCTGAATGTACGTACGTATGACAGTCGTAATAACACTTACACTCCTGCTTAACCACACAAGTCATTTGTCTCTGTCGTGCATTTCATTCACCTGGCGGGGGCTATTGAAACACGTATCAGGCAGTGGTACAAAATCAGGATACGAAACCCACCTCGGCATCGGACGGCCAATATCCCTCTTGCTCACGAGACTGAACTTCAAAGACTGTTCTATTCCAGTTGGTCCGTCAAAGTAGATTAGTTCAGTGACTCAGGAAAACCTCAGACAAAACTTGTGCCTCGAAATTCGGTCATTTTAAACATGTATGTACTCTGTGTCATTCACGCGACGACGTAGCCGTTGTCAAGTTTTGACTGCGGATACCTTTAACGCATACGGCTGAGGTCTGTGTAATAATTAAGGGATTAACTCTAATGAGGGTACATGTTCTCGGAAAGGCCTCCGCTGTACTCGTTGCAGTGTTTGTGTGTTTAATTAAATTTTGGTGTTAGATAAATACGAGAACCACGTGTCGATTTCGCAGATATCATTTAAGTACAATGAGAAGGTAACGTAACACAGAAATCTTGTAAAGTACGTCTGTTAGATAATACGCAAAAGATACATTAATTAAAAAATTATACACGTATTACGTTCATTCTTCTTTCAAACAATAAATAATGGTTTGAAACAAAAATTAAAAGTCCCTAAGAGATGGAAAGCCAAAATTACAGTTAAGAAACATTATTTTAAATGACTGACAAGATTCAAATGAAATCTAACATTTTTAGACTACACAGGTCAACAAGGGTCAAGAAGCAGACACACTAATATGCATTTCCGAAGGATTTTGGTGCGCTGAATCCGAATCTGGGCGCAGAATTGCTCTATCACGTCAGGTTTTTGAGATATCTTAACCTAAAAGTGCAAAAACACTTTTTTTATCATATTTGAGGTTATGTACTAATGCCATATGGTCTTTTTAAAAAAATACATATAATTTAAAAGTACAAGGCTCCCTCTTTCGAAAGCTGTTGAATTTGCTCTTCTTTTTTTTTCGTTGTGATATCACACGTAGAAATTTCTAAGTCTATCAGTTTCTTAATATGCGAAAATCTACTAAGGATCCCTTAGACGTCAAACAGTTGACTGCAGTTCAGAAACTTCATACTCAGAAACCTTCAATACATACGAAGTCAAACTCACAAACTCCAAATCCACAAACCCACAAACCCCAAACCCACAATCCCTAAACCCACAAACCCTAATCCCACAAAACCCGAACCTACAAACTCCAAGCTTACAAACCCCAAGCCCACCAACTCCAAACCCACGAACCGTATGGGTATGAAGTTTCTGAATTGCAATCGACTGCTTGATGTCTAAGGGATCCTTAATAGATTTTCGCATATTAACAAACTGAGAAACTTAAAAATTTCAACATGTGATATCTCAACAGTATTTTTTGCACTTTTAGGTTAGGATATCTCAAAAACCTGACGTGATAGAGCAATAATTCTTCTGCCAGATTCGGATTCAGCGCACCTAAATCCTTCGAAAATATATATTCAAGTTTCTGCTTCCAAAAAAAAGTTAAATTTTGTTGGTCTGTGTTATCTCATGAAAGAATATTTTTTTTTATTCACAGGGGCCTTAATATTTTATTAATATATTAGGTACCTACATTTCTCTGAAAAAAAGAGAAGATACTGTCCTTCAATATCGACAAGACAGTCACACAAAAATTGTGAACCTGAGACATGTACATAGATTTTTTTCGAAAATTATGCGATGTTGCCAGATTTATTTAAAAAATTAAAATATAGATTTTTGAGGTTGTTTTAGAAATTTTTTCTTGTCTATATTATGTCATTGAAAAGCCAAAAGCTCTATTTGCTCAGCTTAAAATTCAATATAAGAAAAATGCAAAATCCATACACAAACTGAATGTCTATATTATTAAAATTCTGCATTTTTTTTGTGAAAAACTCATATCTATCATTGTTTGATGTATGATGCATTTTACCCGTGAGCCCCCTGCCTGAGACACCCCCTGACTAAAATTTTTAAACAGTTTTCGTGTAGTTTGTTAGAACATTCATTGAATGTCCAACATACCAAAATTCATAATGATACGTTAACTGGTTTTGGGAATATTTTGAAAAATATTATCTCTTGAAGCGCCTTTTAGGGGGGCGTAGCTCCCTTAGGAAGCGTTTTTCGACCCTTGTTTATAGGAAAAAATAATCTTATCGTAGAATATACCGCTAAAGTATCGCACATTAATTATGAGACACCCTGTATAGCATAAATAACACAAAATAAATTCTCGAATCGATAATTTTATTTTTCGCAGATAATTTTTTTAATAGTATAAGTATTATTAATTGTTTCTTGATACGTGTTTATTCACATACTTGCATGAACAGGGTGATCAGAAAATTGGTAAATATAAAAATCGTTCAAGAATAAACTGCCTTTGTTCTTAACAATACAGAAATACGTTATTAAGAAAAGTTGCTTAGAATTGACATTTATATTATAATTTTAATGTGTGTATGAATCGGCCTACTTTGATTGAAACGGTCAGTAAAACAATTTTATTGTTCATTTTACGAGAAAAAGGCATTCTTGAAAGAAATTTTTGTTTATCTTAAAAGTTTGACAACAACCGTCATAATGAAAAGTGATAGGGTTTTTGAGTAATAGTGACAGATATTCTTAATATGCTTACGTTACAGCAAAAAATTTATTTAATTTTAATTTATATTTGAACAAAAGGCAGTTTATTTTTGAACGATTTTATATTTATCGATTTTCTGATCACCATGCACATGCAAGATGAAAATTCTCCACGCCAACCGCATTTTATTTTTTTTAATTTTAAATTCTAACCGTAGACATATTGTATATATTTTCTTATAGTCTTTTAACAACACCGAATTTTTGTGCATAATCAAAAATGTGCTAATCTCGCAGTAGAGGTTTCCTGATATCCGGATTTCAAATACTTTAGTATTCAGTTCATAGGTGAGTATTTAGTTTCCATGCTCAATTTTTAAGACAAGCACCACTACCACCTTTTAATTTATTATATAGCACGCAAAATAATCAAGCAGAATTCATGTGCAATGAGTACAAAATATAGCTTATGTTAATTAGTAATTTTTTTCAACTATTTAAAGGTACGTACTTGCATCAATCTTCAAAAATAAATGAAAATATTTTTATAGTATATCAAAAAATATCCTTCAGAAGATAATAGGCATTTCCACGAGCACTGTTAGCCATTAGAAAAATGCATAAATAAGGAGAGTAATAATTTATAACCAAATAAAAATATTTCCAATATTCTGCCTAACTCATAAAACAATAATCAGATGTATTTCAAATTGTTTCTATTTTTATAAAATACTGTTATATTTGTCTTACGTTACCAGTTTCTACTTAAATGAGATTGTGTAATACGCGCCCTCATTCTTTGTTAAAGTAAAATGTGTATAAATAAATAAATTTTACCTCTCCAACCATGTGAGGAACTTTGAACTACTATTTAATCCAACGTATGTATTATTGTGTATAATTTGCAGATTTTAGAGGGAGGGCGTGTCTCGTATTCGTGAGGTTGTGCCTCATAGTCCAATCGATTAACATGGAAAAATGGGCAATCCCAAAATAACTCCAAACAGAAACACAAATCTTCAAAAAGTGGAGAAACGATTTACCTACATTTCTACCTACGTCAGTTCAATTTAGAATGACAAAAACTAAAAGAAACAACATTTTAATTTTTTTGGCAATAACAGAAAATATTCTGAAATATTTTTCCAACCATTATGATTAAAAATTTTTCAATTTTAGTAAAATTTAATCACAATAACAAATTATCACTTGAAAATAATAGATGCAATAAATACTTTCGTTTTGGAAAAGTAAAAAATGCTTCATTGGCAAAATTTGAACAAAATACTGAATTTTTTAACAAGAAAACAATAGAGCATCGCATTGAATCCCAGAGTGATTTTTCAAACTTTAAAATTTAAAACTTTTCCTCTTTTCGTTTATACTTTAACTAAGAACAACTGAAATGTATCAGACACCCTAAATATTTTCTTTAATTACCTAGATATAATATCTTCTCAGGTTATAGGACGATTTTGTGTCAAAAGCTTAATGTTTTCAAAACGTTATGAATGTGAAATACTCTTTTACTTATTAACTCCCATATCACTGGGAATAGACCATTCAACCCTTTATATCAATATAATCCTGAGAAAATTATGCTTTTGTACAGGGTTTTTCAGCAGATTCGTTGAGCGAACGTAGTAAGATTTTCCTTATACCAGTTCTTTAGGACCTCTTTCTCAAGCTATACAAAGCGTAAAATTTAAAATACATATATGGATATCTTCACATTTTTGGTAAAAAAATAAGGATGAGTTAGGGTGAGTAGACATTGTATCATAGGCGTTCCTATATACGCCTATGATTCAAAGGGTTGTTCTATAAACATATCATTTATGTCCTTAATTTTTTCCGTTCTTATAGAATATTGATGCACGGTTTATTTTAAAGATGTGCAACTTATTTAGATATTGCAGCTTCTTTGGATATAAGTTAAGTTGGCTACATTCCAAGAAACAAATGAAAACATAAATTTGAAAGGGCTGGCAAATATTGTTAACTAATCACGTAATTAAACTTAATAACAGTCAGTTTACGTTAAATCTTGAATATGTCTACCATATCCTTGAATGTCACTTGGCCTAATCCGGAATAATTCAATGTAGTTTTAGTTTTCTGTAATTCGTTTTTATAATTATCAAACTGAAACTACATACAAAAACCTATCCAACAGATCCAAAAATTTGCGGATAAAAAGAGATTCGCTACCATAGGTCTGATTTTGCACCACCAATTTCGAAGTAGTGTAGTAGTCATTAATATTTTGCAAGAGACTGTTGCATGAAAACTCATGATCATGTATTTTATTAAAAACTGTCTCACTATAAACAAGGTGTGTAAACACAAGATAATTATATTCCATCTAGTGTAATTGACATAAAATCATAGATTTCGAACATTTGCAAGAGTTTTGCAAACAATAATTTTAAGACTAATTAAATTGTTAGACACCAATCGTATCTAGTGCATTAAGCAGAATATCATGATGAAATCTATCCAATACATTACTGAAATCGACAATGACGTCGACCCGATTGTTAGCATCACACAGATACTTAGTCGGTCATAGATTAGTTGTGGTGAATCTACTTTTCGTAAAAGCATATTGTACTGAAGTAATTTTTCGATGAACGTCACTTATCAATGATATGTAAAATAGTTTCGAAGATCTTAGAAGAGTTGCATATATTAACTATCGGTCTATAATTCTCGCTAACGTAGATTTCTTTATGGACAGAATAAACTCTCAAAGTTTTCGTTATGTTGGAAAAAGTAAACGTTTCTAAAAATAGACGTTTTTTTACATTGTATAAATGTATACTTAAAGAAATCAGCAGAAACATTAATAAGTTTTTGATCATTGTCGATTTCTATATCCTGATAAGTGACTGGAGTCGCAAGATCAAAATTTATTAGGATTATCATGGAACAAAGTTTGCAGCAACACCAAATATCTGTAGATGACTTTTGACATTCGAGGTAGGTTCACGAAGAGTATATTCCACCTGGTCAGCTGACAATGGGAAGTTTTACTATGCTTTAAAATGATTTATAGAAAATGTATGCGAATTATATAAAAATATTTCTTGGCTTAAAACATATTCGGAAATTCAACAACAGAGTCCAAAGATCAAAGCTGCAATATAGACATTTTGCAAAAGTGAAAAAAAAAACAAAAGGAATAATAAAACCGAGTAAATTCAAACTACATGTGCAAGAAAAAGTAAGGGAGGGGTAGATACAGAAAAAATGAGCTAGTATTCAATAAAAAACAAAGCAGTTATTAATACAATTTTTTATAAATAGTAACTTTGACACCCTGCATCTTGAATAAGACAAATGGCCCATGGAAAATTTCACTATTTTCTCTCAAAAAATCTGGTTAATGGCTCAATCTACTCTTTTTGTAACACCTGCTAGGAGAGAGAGGATGAAAGGAAGATATCCGTATGCTTGCAATCAATGAACATTTGATTTTATTTAAAAAAAAATTATCCTTGTAAAAAGATTAGACAATAAAACATTTTTCATTTTTCCGATACCTGCAAGAAAGTCACAGATGAACTTAACAATTAATTATACATCTGACATTATTTAAGCATTTAATTGTTTTTATTTGAATAGCAAACCTAGACATTATTGATTGTCAATATTTTTGTTAAAAATGGTAACAGTTGTACGAGTTATTTTGGATTGTCTTCAATTCCGTCTGGATTATCGATAACTTAGAAGGGTACGGTAGAGTAGCTACGCCGACAGAATGCTTTCAATAACCCCGGCATAATTGTTTTTTGATGTTCCAGTACCAGCTATTTGCCGGACGCCAATAAGCACCCCCGCTGATGATTCGAGCTCGATTTTATTTTATTTTATTTTTATTTTTGGATGTTTCAATGAAGACCGGAAGTGGCAATCTGAGCGACAATCACAGGCGACCGCACGACCTCCAGACATGTCTTATTGTTTGTGTATGTCCATTCAAGTGTGTCTTATATCCTGCCCATTGTCCGATATTGCTGCTAAATCTATATTTTTGTATCTCTCGCTCATATCACGTTTTCCTTATAAGTTGTTCAACTTAACATTACTGGAAAAATCTACTGCAGATCCTCGAATATATGACAGGTTGATTTGTCGTAAGTACAGAAAAAATTGGACTTTAACAAGATGTTTAAAATATATATCAGAACAGATTGAGATGTTTTTTTCTTAAATTCTACAGAGTAGATCATTTAAACCATAAATATTAAAAAAAAACTGTTATAAGGGTTTGAAAAAATATTTGTTACAACTTTGTCATTTTTAATTTTTGTAAAATATTAATGTTCAATAATGTTAAATTAAAGGAAAGCAATTTTACTATAAACTATCCAAAAATTTCTATGATTTCTTTTCCAAATTACCTTAATTTTAGCCATAAAAACATCTCTAAATTCTCTGCACGTACCTAGAAAACACCCAGGAGAATGAGGGTACGCCATGCAGTCGAGGTGTAATCATTTGATTTATTAGTTGTATTATTTATAAGTTGTTCCGAAAAACTTGATTTTTAAAATGTTAAATAATGAAATCAGAAAGCGGTACAGTTTATATTTGGTTGCAAAGAAATAGTAGAGGACACCTGTAAATCATATTTTATTTCATTCATCAATAAAGTAAGTACCTACTAGAATTATTTAAGTATCAAACTCTTTATTTTCTTTGTATCTACCTTTGGTATACTAGAAAGCGAAAAGTAATAAGTAATAATATACGTATTTTATTGGATAAACCAAATGACCATAAACGCAAGTCCTAAAATTTTATTTTTTTTACGTTACAAAAAGTAATAATAATTATAAAAAAATAAATTATATAAAACAATTATTTGTTTTGTACTGAATATAAGTAATACTTATATAGAAACAATACTACCTTCCTTTTTCTACACAATGTGTGGCAATTTAAATTTTAAAATAGAAAACTTTAGCAACATATCAACTAAATGATATATACCATTTTTCGATGATCATTTAAAAAATACATTTTTACAATTATGGCGAAGGCGCCAATGTTAACTCTTAAATACATTATTAGGTGTACACATTTAAATAAATAGTTGTAGAATACATTAATTAACTATTACTAACATTACTAACTATTGTGTAGACAGGAGACAGACACATAGGCCACCTAGACATAGGGCGATTATGATGAAGGCAGTTGGGAGCCTTGTCGGTAGTCCGGCATCAGTCGTATCTGGAAACTTTAGCTGTACGTGTCGCTTTGATTTCAATAATTAGTTAATTTTTCACGGGCAAATGTATTGTAAGACATTGTATAAATAGAAGTGAACAAGTTGGTGAAGAGAGCCGAAAAGTTTCCTACTCTAGATAAGTAAAATAAGCAACATATAAAACATAAATTTGAGCCATTATATACGCCATTTCTTGGTTAAAGTCAGAGTATTCCAGGGTTGACTTTATAATTTTGTTCGCACACATAGTGCAATGGTAAACGAGATATTATTATAAATTGTTAATAAAATAATGAATAAATGATTGTAACATATTTTTAATAATTATTTACTTTACGTAGTCTCCAATTTATACGAAATTTTTCCAATTCCCATAATTTTGAGGGAGCTGAAAATTAATGTGATACTATTTTTTGCGATCGAAAAAATAACAAAAAATTAATTTCAAATTCATGTTCAGCAACCTGGAAAAGGGGGGTTGGCAAAATTTGATTAGAAAAATCAGAGTTCTATGGTAAAATAAATAATTACCAAATTTTTATACTTGCTTCGATTTTTCGAATCTAATATTTTAATTTTTACAGATTTCCAAAGGATGTTGACATAAAGTATAGATAGGTGAAAGCTTTAAAAAAACAGGATTGGACACCATCGAAATTTTCACGTATATGTTCACGTATAATCACTTTGAAGAAAATTTTTTAATTTTCAACAAAAATGTAGTCCGCAAATTAGCAAAAAATGCAGTTCCCACATTAAATCTACCAGAAATAATAAGTAATTATACTTTATGTGTGTTCAAATTTGATCTAGAACACTCCACTAACATTTGCCTGGTCTTTGAGTCTTTGAGGACTCTCCCAATACTTAGTGAACATTTTAATGCTCACCACATAATTTTGCAGAAATTATCTTCACTAATACTTTTTTATGAACATGAACAGTCCCAATCTTCGATTCTTTTACGTCACCTATCAGCCAACCTACCACATCGCAGTCATCATATTCTGACCTAATAGTACATCTTAGATGTCAGCTTTGAATATTACGGATAATGAAAAGGTTAGGTAAACATTTTAGTGATGATACCCCAAGAAAGAAGAAACTAAAATATGAAATAAGGCGGATTTCCTTCGTTTCCAATAAACAGAAAAAAAAAGATAACCCGCTGAAAATAAACGTCGTTTAAAAAAGCAAAATGACTCATGAAACAGAAAAAATAATATATTTTTTTATTAACTATAAAAACAGTACACCAAAGCTACACAAAAATAAAATTGTGTATCATGTATTAAAAAAAATTTTGAATGTGAACATATTTGAAAATTTGCATGAACATCAATTTGATAATTTCCCTAACAATTGTAAGCATTTAATAGAACTTGTAAGGGCTGTATGCCGGACCTGTAGTACCTATATGCTCTAAGGTATGCGCAGTCAGATTACTTCGCACACTCCACTTCCCCGCAGTTTGCATTTACTGGTACCCATGCATTGGAATTAGATACAACCAGTCTAGGTGGTCTATGGACAGACACATTTGCGTAATATTAACATACCTATCAGTCCTAGTACCTTGAAATTTACATATGTGCGTATGTTTCCAATTTTTTACATAATTTTATATGATAACAACAGGATAACACAAATGTGAGGTAGGAGGTTATTAACGATAAACGAGACTAAGCTAAAATTTAAATCAAATTTTTGTTTCCCTTTCCGAAAATGGTTATATTTATATGACCTACAGTAATATAATTATGGGTGAGATGGTAACATAGTATCTATGAATGGTCACTGCTATTCAATATCTAGGCTTGCGTTATCGCCATACTAGCAGAAAGCGACCTGTTATTTCGCTGGTACTATGAAAGCAAAACCTATGCCGCCACTGTACGAAATTTTTAACTGGTATTCCGGGATACAACTATCTGCGGATTAATATCCCGACCAGCATTGAATTATAGCCGTTATATCTACATAGCAACGAGCTAGAATCATTCGTCAACAGAACTACCAGAGATATATCTTAGAACTTATTACATGACATACTGGTAGAAAACGAGTATATGCCTGGTGGTTCTACTGACGAAACTGCTGCTTGCTAGTATTGTAGATGTAATTCAATGCTGGTCAGGGCTGTAGTTTGCAGAGTAATTGTTTCTCCCAATATCATTAGTAACGATTTTTAAGTAAAATTGGGCATACTTTCACTACTCTTGATCCAGGTTGTCAATATGTGAAGAACAAAAAGATATAGGTCATACTTATAGCGTGCAACTAGCGACCTCTACCGTCAATTAATTCTATTTTTTAAAAATACTCTGTATAAAGCAAAGTAAAGCAAAAAAGAAAGGTCGCAACTATTGAAATTTTCAAATTAACTGGTGCAACAGTTTTCAAAATATTGCAAAAATGAGATATTTTTAAACTTTGGCACCCCATATATTGAAACGGAGGGACAATTTGGTTCGATAGCGCTGTTTTTACCTCAGGCATCTGTTTTTGTTCACTGTTTTAATCAAAACCGTTTCAGTTTTCAATTGGAGTCAACTACAGTTGTTCGGATAGGTGTAGAAATAATTGGTTTGTTAAAAAAAAATGAAAGAATTATTGGATATGAAAAACGCAAAAAATATGTTGAAAGTTGAAAATCCTTCTTTCAACTTGTCAGCACTTCAATCATGACTCAACGACTCGATTTTAGTTGATTGATCAATTGATCAAAATTGACTGCATAAACTTCATCAAGTCGTGGAGTCATCTTCGACTCATTGACAAGTTGAAACGTGACTGAATCCAGTGAACTTGAACCAGTTCACTCGCTTTGAACTTTTGCTACGTTTTTTAATGGTTATTATCTCTTCACCCACATAAGCAACCGCAATTGACGCTATTTTAAAATTGTAATTGTACATTTTCACTAATTGATGTGCAAACTAAATTTCATCGATCGATCCACTAAAATTGAATAGCGACAACCCGCCATTACAACAAGTTAAGTTGAACAACTTTCTCTCGCGCCTTTTTCAACTTCAAAAAAATATTCTTGCATCGGATGATGGCGTGTCTGCGTGCAGTGTATCGGTTGAAGATCCCGCATGCCTGCGAATCTGTGTCCTTTTAGCCTTTTTAAAGAATACACCCTCGACAATCGTCTATAAGATATACAATTCCATATTTTTCATATGCATATTTCATAGATATCTTATGTGTGTGCGCATGTAATCGTTTCTACTTTAATGTGATCTGTATCGTACCCAAACTATACCAGCTCGAGGTATATTTCATACACGTTTTCACTTGTCAAAACACCAATAAATAAATATGTAACGGTAGGATTTTTTTCTATGTAAGCGGTGTAAATAAATGTATTCTTTTTATATTATAATATATTCAATGGATATATAACTATATTTTAGAATATTTGTCTACAAGTAACAGTAGAGGCACAGGATAGTTCTTTGTTGAAGCACACAAGGTGTATCCACTTAATGAAACTTGTGCGTCGCCGTATTTCCGAAAGCATTTCTTTCTAAACTACATATTCTGCCAACCAAACTAAATCTTTCAAATCTCTTCTGAAACGAATAC